TTCCTCGCCAGTCTGGGTGAGGGGCTGATGGCTGTTTGTAGGCTGGCCACAGCTCCTTCAGGGTGGTGGTCCCTCCTGGGGTGCCTGTCCAGCCTGGGTGAGGGGCTGATGGCTGTTTGTAGGCTGGCCATGGCCCCAGCCACCTAAGCCCCCAGTTGAGGTTGGCTGGAAGTAGGTATCTGGGGTTTATTTACCTTCTATAATTGAAACTTTGTTGCCTTCATTGGAGGCCAGAGCCAGCAGGGCAGGTGGGAAGCTTGGCTTCTTCCATCACCGGGGCAACCAAGCCTCTTGCTTGCTCCAGCTCTGTGGCCGCCGGGCCATCTTGGGGATCCGTGGCTGCCGGCCGCCATCTTGGTTGGGTTATTTGCATATAGTCGCTCTGATTGACTGGTAGGCGTGGCTTGGGGGGGCATAATGAAGGTACGGTCAATTTGAATGTTTCTCTTTTATTAGATTAGATAGTCTATAAACAGCACAACTCTATAAGCATTATTAAGCTCTCCTCTCATCCAAACTCTATTAAGTATAAATTATTCATAACTTTTTTGCAGATGCTGTGACATTTTTGTTTATCTTTACAATGCCATGACACATTCAAGCAGATAATTATTCTGCCGATTTTCACATATAAGGAAACCGAGGCCCAGGGAAACTATGTGACTTTCTACTTTACTCAGGTTAGGGGGCCAGGCAGAGGCTCCTCTAGTTACAAACTCTCCCCTGCCTGATGCTGTCTCACAGAAGAAGTAAGTCAAGACCAGGCCACATAGAATCCAGTTAAGAGTATAACTCTGGCACACTTAAAAGAAATTAGAGAATAACAAAGTACTGAACAAGAAGCATTTAGAAAGGTTAATGAGTGTCCAGAACCAGCTTGGAAAGGGTGTAATGGAGAAGGTGAATGTTGAGCTGGAATTAGGACACTCTATGTAAGGTGACCAGCTGGGCTAAACTCAGAGGTGGGACAGCTGCAACTCATGTAGGAAATGACAGGAGCAGGGGCAGAATAGCCAGGGGTTAGATTGATTAAGTCCAAGAATGGCCAAACTCATCCATCTGTCCATTCATTCACTTAACATTTTTGAGCACTTTATATATATTGGGCATTGTACTAAGCACTGGGGATATAAAGATCAATAATAGTATCTCAGGCAATTTACTGTCTAATGAGAGAAACAGATAATTACAGTGCATTTTTAGAAGTGCTAAGATGAGAGTGTTAGAGGTTTGGATATAGCTAGGTTCTTCCGTCCTACTCATCATGCTTCTCCCGTATGAGTCTGGGTCCCTAGAGACTCACCCAGAACTGGAGCTCAGAGCCTGAGACTCCCTCCTGATTGAAAACGACAACTGCGCCCTCAGCCGCCAGCCCGCTCTGCATGCACCTCCGCACCTTAGTATTTTACTTCCGCACTGCGCCTCCTCTGAGTCTCGATATGTTTTTCTCTTTCCTTCTAGTTGTAGAATTTCCACTCAGCCAGCCTTCCTGTGGTTCTGGATGATGTCCCTGCCGTCTTTTAGTTGTATTTTTGAAGTGGTTGCTCGAGGCAGCAAACTCCGGTGTTTACCTATGCCACCATCTTGGTTTCTCCCCCACAATACATATTTTGAGTGTTTTGTAAGTTATTTGAATTTGACCATATGCTAGGCCTGGACCACTGGGT